ACTCAGAAATATCCTGCTCTAAATGGAGTTTTGTAATCTTTTAAACTGAAAATTTATGCAGAGCACTTAATCTTGCATTGTAAAACGAAAGAAATATGTCCAACTCATTCAATTACCTGACTTAAATAACAAAAATCAACCAAACAGAATTAAATGATAAAGCAAATTTTGTTTTATATTGGAACTATTCAACAATACAGTGTTATTACATGCTATGAAATGTTTTAAAAACTCATAACAAATGAACAATACAACCAACACCAAATTTAGTTAGAGATAACTTAAGTATTTTCTTTCATCTCTTGCAAATGTTTTGTGTGTCCACTTTTGCTGGTATAGTAGATATTTATGGATTAATGATAGGATTTATTTAAACATATTGAAAAGCTTACTCGTTCCACATCTGAATGAAAACACTGATTATTATTCCTCTTCATTTCAACAAGACAGTTGTACAGATTGCCACCTCAAAAACCATTATCAAATTCATTTGCAATAATAACACAGTCAAATACCGAAAATACGTGTTGCCTCTCAAAATATAAACCTTCAGTTTATAGGTTGCAGAAACCACAACATTGAGTACGAAATATCGAAGAAAAAATACTTAGCAAATAATAATGAGTCATAACCGAAATACCAAATTCTTGACATCATGATAAAAGTTTTTTCTCCTCTGATCTGCATCGAGAGGTAAGAAAGCAGACGGTTCATTCAACTCTTGTTTCAAGTTCATGATTCACATTGTATTTTCTAAGTTTTGTTATTTCACGAGATTATTTAGTGCTGCCTTTTTTTATCCGGATATTTTGTGGATAAATTAAGAATATTTTAAATTTCAGCCCTTTTTAATACAATTACAGATAAGAAATGCACTCATTATTTTACTGCTTGCAATGCTGAAAAATGTAAACACATGGCATTGACGGTAATGCAAAAAGTGCAAATTCTGCAAAAGATGGCGATAGGTACATTTTATAGCAGAATTGTATGGAATTGCGATTCAATTGTGTATGATATACGGAAAAATAAAGAAAAGCTGTTGAAATTTTACAGCAAACAGTGATTCTAACACCAGAAATCTTTGCATGAGGAGAAATCGGCAAACCTCGATGCTGTGTATAATAATGAATAATATAATCAATTTATATATGTAATAATAATTTAACACATATAAGTTATTGCAATAATGTATATAATAATTTAATTAAATGTATCTAATATGCCTTATTTATTCTGCACTTTTAGTCTGAATATTACGATTTATCTTTTCTGTCTTGAAATCCACAAAAACCTCTGGTCCCAAGCTTTGTGGATTTCTGGACTTCTACTGTACCACAATAACACATACAGGATAACAAGATGTGTTAATGCAATGATCCCATGAAACTTTCTATTGGGATTTATTAAGGATATGGAGGCCTTGTTGAGATTTCTTCTACTTTTTCAGTATGATAAAATTTAATAACAGTTGCATATTTTATTTGCTATGAATTAAAAAAGAATATTAAAAAAATATTCTCTTACCACCGACAACATAAAATCAAAAGTGAATGTCGGAAATGTAGAACTTTGTTAATAAACATATAGTGATTTTTTTTTTCCTGAAAAAGTTTTTACTTTCATTAATTTATGCATTTTTTGTTGATTCCCTAGACTGAAGCAATTAATTCCCCTCCCTCAAAGACTATTATCACAATTTTTTATAACTTCATTTCAATAGACTAATTTTTTTAATAACACAAACTATTGACGATACTTAAAAATTACCATCCTTCCTTATTTCATACGTAAACATAAAAATACCTAATTTTTGGCAGCCTTCATAAAAATGGTATCCATTTCATTCATTATGAATGGAAAGTTTATCCTTATATAATTTAAATACAGATACATTCAATGGAAAAAAAATCTGCGGTGCATTTTAGACATAAGTGCATATATGGGAACACAAATCTTGCATTTAAATAAAATATACATATTTTTATGGTGTGAAGGAGGGAGAATCTGCAAAAAGATATTTAGACTATTCATGCATGTAATAAAAAATAAATAAAATTGTTTTGTTATTATATACATATATACAATTACAAATGTTATGTACCATTCTTTATGTTTACACTAATAAACAAAGACTGGAGGGGGGAATTGAGAAATTTAGATATGGAAAAGGTATCACTGTCTCATGCTCATACTACAGAATTAATTAAACAAATATCACATATAAATATCAAATGCTGACATAATAACAACTGCATGGAAAAAATAATCATACAGTAATTTTTAAAAGGTCGTAGCCTTCTTTCACTTTGATCAATAATCAGTGTTTCTGAATATTTTTTACAGCAAAGTTATGACTGTATGATGAATTATATAACCAAACTTTTTCAATTTACAGACGAATGCAAAAAATACCAAATTATTCAAAACAAATTAATTTTGTTAACATTCGTATTCCCATTCCATTTGCATCGAGGTTTAGCTTTTTGTTGTCAGCATGAAAGATAAAAACTTTAAGGAAAAAAAAAAAAAAAAAAAAAAAAATTATATCATTAAAAAATAATTTGTTTATGCCCACTAGTAGCCTGGCAGTTAATTTATTAAATTCCAGAAATGGGATAGCTGCATGGGAATTTTCCTCCCGTGTCATGCAAATACACACCAATTTCTCTTAGAAAGTCCTCTATATAGGCATCCTTTTTCCTAGGCAGAGAGCCAAGTGTGCTTTGCCATAATTTAAATCACTTACTTCTTTACTCTTAACAAGACAAAGTTTTTAAATTCACTTACAGATTGAAAAATATGATCTTTCATATATTTTACGTTGGAAAAAATATTTTCTTCTTCAATATATCCACAGATTTTTTTACAAATACAGTAAAAATGAAAATGATGCTTCTAGTAATTTTAAATTAGCTCCAATTAATAATAAAGGTACATGGCAGAGAATATACTGAATGGATATATTATGCTGGTAGACTGCATGTAAACAACCATGAAACCAGTGATCAATTTTGATAATGAAGTTAAGTTAGACTACGGAAGGCATATCAGGAGGAACGCTTACAGTTTTGATATATTTCCATTAAATATTACTATGATGGGCAACACAGAACATCAAAATTTGTTAACAGCTGTTAAGAATATTTCCACCTATTTCTGAAACAATTCATCAGCCATCCAAACCTTTTTGTTCGATTTTTATTGTACCAGAAAAATTTTCAAATGGTTACATTCAAAGCATTTTGGCTGTGCATTCTCATCTATCATCAATATAAGGAGCTTAGAACTATCCATATTAACTTCTGTTACTCTTTTCCTCCCCTCTTTCTGCCCATGCTGCATTAGCAGTGTTAAATATGAACGGTTTTTGCTGCATGCATCTTAACAACAGGAAGACCTGTTTCACCTATATTAAGTTTTGGTTCACAAATTGCAATAAATTCAGACAAATCGCTCATATATTTGGCTTTCTTCACTTTCTGATGTACTTTCATTGTAATTAAAACATATATATATTTACTTAGTTCTTGTTTTAAAATTATTACTTTTAAATTTCTCAGTAAACTCTTCCGCTTTGTATGCATTTGCAGTTAGCTTGATCTGACCTATTCTAATAATCCATGATCTTAATTTTCTCTCCAAGAAAGCTGATAAACTGCTAAGAAGTATGCCATATTCTTTAGCATGATAGATTTTTTTCCCTTACTTCATTAGCTAATTTCACTAACTACTACAATTCAATTTTCTCTAAAGTATAAATGCTTATTGTGTGACCTACACAGTATGGAAATAAAAAAAGAATAGCAAAACTTAAAAGACAGGATTATAGGATTCCGTTTAATAATTGGGCTAGGATAAAGGATTGCTAATGATGAGAAAAGAATTCTATGGAAAACAATTACATAGGATGCAAACTTCTGCACTTTTTTTGTAATAAAATTCTTCTAAATCTGAAATTACCTGAAAATATGAAATAAAAAAATTTCAAAAAGCTAATTTAAATATTAGGTTTAACAAAAAAATTACAAATTAGTTCAATCTAAATTATACAAAAATTCAACTTATACAAATTTGTCTGAAATTCTGCACGAACCATGATGCATGGTATATTAGTTGAATCATCCCTCAAAAATTCTGATATAAAAAAAAAGGTACCTTGTGTTGAAGCTGAATATCAGTTAACCATATGGCAGAGGGATGTTACCCTCGGGGACACTCTCTCACACATTCTCTAAGCATACATAAGCAATTAATATCAAATGAATAACAGCTGCAGAGACAAATCAATACAGTACTTTTAAAGAGTCGAATTTCCTGGCAAAATAAGTGTTTCCTCCATTTTTTTCTTACAGCTGCATAGCATACACAGTTATATCTTTATACAGAATAGGGTAGGTGCCTTTTTAGAATAATCCTGAATATTTTATCAAGTAAGCAATACAACTCCACAAGAATCTATGTTCAGCTATGCACAACAGCAATTTTGAAGGTATTTTGATCAAAATATCCACTTTTATGTAAATAAAACAGCCACATATCGCTATATATTTTCAGTTTAAGTATAAACATCAAGGAAACTTCATCCTGAGAAGAATATCTAAGGAGGGGGGGATTAAGATTACAGCATCAATTCATAAGAATTTTATGCTGGTAGGTAATGTAACATTAATAATTCAAATTATTTATTTCAGAATATGTTTCTCTTAATAATTTCTATGGCATAGACATTACAAAAACAATTAGGAAGAGAACAATTATGTACTTGATTACAAATATACGTAATCAAAGACATCCCGAGCCACTATTCTTGAATACGGATTTCATAATACCCATATAAGCATGTATAGCGGTTATCACGACGCATGTTCAGTATTACACATTAAAATGTAAAAAATCTAAAAAGGAAACTGTAACTCTAAATTATATTTTAGAATGAATACTGTACCGAAATGAGAATATATCACTCATATTCCTTAAAAATTAAGCTTTAACTACAATGAACCACAATTTCTTTTTAATTGCATACTCTTTTACAAACGTTAAAAATATTGCTGTCATCTTGACTTAAATAAGAAACAGCCTAAAGCAGTATAATATATACATATACACACACATACACACAACACATGTGTGTATATACATATTTATGCAGAAGAAAGAAGAACAAAAATTGCACACAAAGTTCAATTGCAAAAACTATAAAAGTGGGCGCAGAAACAAAGATTTTATTTTTACATGACTTGAGTATCACAAATTATGCTCAAATGAATAACTGATAGACCATGGTATCATTTTACCAGGTTCTGATTTAATGAAAGAAAAATAATGAATTTAAAGATGATACTGTATGAAAAACTCAATTTACAAATTTCAAACAAGAACCTATAAAACAAGTTCTGCTAAATAACTAATAACTAACCAATTTGCTTTTCTTGCAAACTAAAACATGTTTCTGCTCTCATTTTTCACTTTAAATACAACAGTGGCACTGCTAGAAACATGCAGCAGGCAACCCAAAGTACTTTGATACAATCCAAGCACAGCAACATCCATGTCCAAAAATAATAGGTAAGTAACAATAATATCATATAGATATTTAGTATGCATGCAATAACAAATTAAAAATATCTATTTACATTTATTATATTAAATAAATAAACCAGTTTAAGCACAATGGGAATGCATCTTTTAAAGCACTTGTAATTCTTCTGCAGTTTAAAACTCAATTACATGCTATATTTTTGATTTCTAATCAGTTATGGAAGATATTTTTGATTCCAAGTTTTAAACAAAAATTTGTATTAGAAAAAAATGTTCAATTAACTTTGTAAGAGGACATGTTTTATTTAGATTCTACTAAAATTTCCAAAAGTACATTTTCGTTGCTACAATGGGTTTTCAGTTCTCAGTAGAAATGATTTACAAAGGCATGGCTTAAACTTTTAAAACTTCAGAATACTTACTATGTTTAGTAAACTTTTACCAGGTATTAACATTTTAACAGGTTATATACACATAGATGAGTAGATCAATACTGGTTATATTGAGCACCCAACTCAAGATTAAACTTAGAAAACAGAGACACATTAAAATACATATTATATAAATAAAAAAAAAATAATCATGGAGGATTTGATGATGAGTTTACACAACAGATAATTAAGAACAATATATTTTAAATACTTTTTGACTCAGATTACATAAATATGAAAAAGAAAAAAAAATATTGCACTAACAATGGCAATAATTCCTCTGGATAACTGCTAGCAAAATCCACTTGGTTATATATATTATACATACATACATATATATATATATATTTATATTTATATATATATGATCACCTAAATAATTCTTCTTTGGCAAATGCTCCAACATCTGAACTATACAAGATACTTCAAAATTTGCTATTAAAAGTCTTTCATAATTTAAAAATTGGTATTCCATTGTGCAACTCCATTTTCCAGTTTCATAAAAAAGATACAACATGTTTCCACTATACGCAATAATGGGAAAGGGGGTGAAAAGGTTCATTAGTTAAATGCAAACAAAGAGCAAGCACAGCTATTTATGTTACAAGTAAAAAAAAATTTCCAAGATTCCATTAAGACATACAAAATTTAGAATACATTATTCAACACAAGATAAAAAAAAAAAAACTCATTAATAAATGTTCAAAGGTTGAAAATGTTTTACAAACTTATTAAAAATTAAAAACTGATTATTTAAATTAATTTCACAGTGAAAATATACATAGTATAGCTGCAAAGTATTTTCTTTTGAATTCAAAATTAGCCAGGGGAGATATGTTTCCCATACACAGGCATACATCCAAAAGTATATTTTACGTTAAATCAATGGACAAATTAATGCAACATGGCTAAAAGCCTCCTTTCCAATATTAATTGAATAACATTAAATTATATTTACTCTAAACAACAACAAAAATTTTAAACGAATCTAAAACATAAAAACATTTTTCACATTATAAATATCATATATGTAATTTTACATATTTTAGAATATGCAAATTATAAAACAGATAAAAATATTTTAAAACTAAAACAAAGATTTTACAATGAAAATAAAAATTTACCACAATTCAATAAATACAATACTACAGATCACCTAATAACTAATCAGTAACAAAAATTTAGTGATATAATACAAAGAAGATTATTTCATGTGCCATAAAAGATATAAAAAGAAGGTGGGAATAATAAGTTAAAAAATTCTCAATAATTTTAAATCAATGTGTTTGAGTGTGTCGGGGAGAGAAACCAAAGTAAAAAATTGCAGTACAAATATGCATCAACTTTTCAAATTCAAAATTTAGTGGCTGCAATATACCAAACTTTTAAGTAGAACAGGAAGACAAAATTCTTTTCAGTATTTAAACAAAAATATTAGTACATAACTTTGTTTTGAATGAACTAGTAAAACAGAGTATTAAATATTAATAAACATGATAAGTTTAATCATTCAAAATTATACTGATTACTACCTATCCTGTGAAGATATATTTATTAACTGCATAGTTTATTTCTGTCAAATAAATACATTGTATATATCCAAATATGATTACAGTCACTAACAACACTACAACTTATATAAATCAGTTATTGCTGTAACAATAATAAAACTAATGAATCTAAAAATCAAAAGTTGACTAGACTAAACTAACAAATGCATAACCACAAAAAAAAAAAAAAAAAACTTTTTCTTCTTTTCTGAAATACATAAACTAAATATTTAGGAAGTCAAAATGACTTAAAAAAATAGGCTGCCATAAATGCAATATTTAAGGTAAAACAAGACATCCAACTATTTCTGATTTCATTATAAATGCACATGCCATATGCATAGATTCTGTTCTGATTCTCCTTTATATATGGGACAACAACCATTTTGAAGTACACATACTAAATATTCATGTACAGAAACAGGGTTTGATAAACACCTTCGATTCACGAGAAGAGTGCAATAAAAAGACTAAGTCAGAAATGCAATTAAATTACATCATACAACAAACTCGATAAAGGAAAGTGTCTTTGTTTCAGAATCCAAAATTTTGTGTGAGTTTGGGATATCTAAAAAGTCTAAACCATATTAATAATATCCATTATCAATTCCTGAAAAACAACACTGACACATTTAAACTTTAGCAAACTTAAAGATACTTTTTTCAAAAATCAGATTTAACAGAAATATCTAAAACTGCTCCTAAATATAGTCTACAGCATGTCCACGAAATGCAGGTCGTCTCTCGTAATGAAATGGAAGCAACCGTGATGTACAAAGAAATGGTAAAAGTGCTTTTTTAGTATTTTCATTCTTTTAATTCTTTTACACAGGATATTTTGCTGCTTAGTTTTTGTACAAATGTTGCATTACCCAACATAATACCTTGTAATACATAGATACCTTTTGGTTGCCATTGATGATGACTTTTCATACTCAACTAAACAAAGCAAAAAACCACAATCACAGTGCTAGTTTTTAAGGGGACGTAGTGAAGGGGAAGATGAGTGAGTTTTTTCACGACCAAGAAACGTAAAAGAAAAAAGCAATATTGACTTTTTGGGGAAGGAGGGTTTTCACGAGAAGGACAGGCACGCGACAATTCCTTCAGTCGGGGTGTCGCAAATACACCCCCATGGCGTTAGCACTCGGAATGATGCAGCAGAGCGGGTGGTGTCAAAACTGGCAAATTGTGGCCGATGTCATCGAATTGAGGCAGTGTTTCGCTCCATGGTAACAAGGCCCACCCTCGCTGCATGCAGTGGCTGAACAGAAAAAGAACAAGAATCTAGGGATGGTTGGGTGCCATCACAAGAGTTCATACTGGTGAAGGTGCATCCGTTGGATGATGTCGCGGCAGTCATTGAATACCCGTCGAATGTTCTCTGTGTCCACGGCACAAGTGAAGTGGGGGTAGCAATAGTGTTTGCCATCACCGCTGGCTGTGCTAATGCGCTATAAAGAGAAAAGAACATAACTTACCAATATAAAAGGATTCCAAATTCAGATTTGAACTTTTAATACACTGCTGGCCACCGTAAATGCAACACCCTGATGGAAGCATGCAGATAACATGACATTTACATATGCATTAGCGGAGGTGAGATATGCAAACGATTAGAATTTCAGTGCAGACGCACATCACGCGTGCCTGTGGCGCCACTTCAAAGCGCTATTTAAGGCTTAGAGTTTTCGACGATTTCAAGTTCAGCAATTGTGTTTTTCTTGCGGTTTTTTTTTTTCAAAAAAAATTATCAATTATGCCTCGTAGTAAAACGCGATCATCATTTGACCAAGTATCTGAGTTCGACAGAGGTAGGATAGTGGCCTACTGAAAGCATGGATTATTTTTCAGGGAAAGCGGTAGTCGTGTTGGACAAAACCAAACAACTGTAAATGCGGATATGTGACCGTTGGATGCAGGAGGGTACAACGGACCGACGTGTTTCGATCGCATCCACTTCAGTGCACTACTTCACGTGATCACAGGAACATTGTGCACATGGCAGTGACGGATCGCTCAGTCACATCACGAACCATAGCACAGCACATTCAGTCTGTAACACATCATCCAGCGTCTGCACATACCATTCGACGCTGTTTACAGTAGAGCGGTCTGTCCGCAAGACGTCCATTGCTTCGTCTACCCTTGAGGCAGAACCACAGACATCTCCGCCGCTAATGGTGCGATGAAAGAAGGATGTGGATGGAAGAATGGAATGAAATTATCTTTACTGACGAGTCACGCTTCTGTCTGCAACAACATGATGGTCAGATTTGATTCTGGAGACACCGTGGAGAGAGGATGCTGAACAGCTGCGTTATGCACCGCCACACTGGTCCTGCACCAGGTATTATGGTATGGGGCAGTATTGGATATCACTCTTGCACTCCTCTAATACGCATTGCCGGTACTTTAAACAGCCAGCGCTACATCTCCAAAGTGTTGGAGTCAGTTGTCCTTCTTGACTTTCAGGGCTTGCCCATATTTCAACAGGATAACGCATGACCACACATGGCACGCATTGTCCAAGGGTTCTTCATCAATCGCCAGATTGAATTGCTTCCCTGGGCTGCTCACTCTCCGGATCTTTCGCCGATAGAAAACATGTGGTCCATGGTTGCTGAACGACTGACCCAGATTACATCCCAAGCTGCCACACCAGATCAACTTTGACAACGTGTGGATGCTGCTTGGTCTGCTGTACACCCAAAAACACATCCAAAGTCTCTTTGAATTAATGCTGAGACGTGTGGTATATCTAACAATGGCGGCTACTCTGGCTACCGATTCTGGAAGGAACCACACTTCACAGATGTCTATAAATTTAATCATTTGATACTAGGTCAACATGTTATCTAATAAATAAATTTTGTTGTGATATCTCTCGTCTTTCTTGGTGTTGCAATTTGGGTGGCCAGCAGTATATTTAAATTATTAAAATTTAACCGCAACACAAATGGATATATTTATTTTTATCATGAATGAATATGCTTAAACATTTTAAAAGCTAGAGAATGGTAAAAATGATTTAATCGAAAATTAGAAGTTAATAATGGACTAAAAATATTAGATATTAGTTAATTTAAACTAAAGAACACTAAGAGGAAAAGCAAGAGAATATTAAAGAAGGCAATGCAAATTTGAGAATTCAATTGAATAAGAATTCAACTTTTGAACAAGGAAAGAATAATATTTTTTCTTTTCTTTTTCAAATCAAACAGTTGGGAGAGAATTTTTCATATAAAATTCTAAGCACAGGAAACTACTTTCAGCATAATGAAGAAGCCTTTATTTTGTGCCTTTGACAAGAATTATGTGAAAACGATATGAATCAACATAAAATCTTAATAATTTTTAAAACAGTAGAGCTGCTTAAAATTATTATCTATGGCTGAATTTGATCCATATTGTATTGTAATTGCAATAAATAATTTTTTTTGTTTCCATTAAAATCACCACTCAGGAAAAATATATATCAGAAAACATAATGCCACTAAAACCTTTCATGTTTATCAAAATTTAGCAACCTTTAGTTAATGATTCTAATTAGACAATAGATTTTCATGATACTAACAGCATATTTCTTTTTTATAAAAGAAGGTACAAAGCTCTATATAACGAGTTTGAATCTGCCTCTTTGCACATAATACGAGGATCAGTCAAAAAGTTAGTTGCACTGTTTCAGAAAACAAAACAGGATATAAATTTTACAATACCTTTGTTTGTACCTTAAAGTTACATTCAAAATCTACTTTTCAACATAATTACCTCCATTATTTAAGCATTTGTCGAGGCATGGTACAAGTTTTTTTATGCCTTTTGCAAAGAAATCCTGTCCAATGTTTGATAATCATTCTTGGATTGCAGCTTTCACCTCGCCATCCGAGTGGTATTGCCGCTCTGAAAGTTCTGCTTTCATGGGATCAAAAACATAGTCAACAAAACAAAACAAAAAAAAAAAAAAAAGTCACAAGGTGCAAGATCTGGGTTATAAGGAGAGTGATCCCACACTTTCTCCCTAAAAATTTTCAAAAGGACGCACATTTGTTTCGCTGCATGCGGTCTTGCATTGTCATGCAGGAGCACTATGCCTTTTGTCAGTTCACCTGGCCGTCAATTTTTAAGTGATAGTTGAAGTTGTTTTGGTGTTTCACGATAAGAAGATGCATTAATTGTGGCACCCTTCGGCATGAACTCTGTATGCGTCAAACATTCTCTGTCGAAAAACAGCATTAGCATCACCTTTCCAGCAGATGGAACAGTTTGATACTTTTTTTGAGTTGTCAGGTGAGAAGTGATGAATTCAAGACTCATCTCTGGTCACAATTTTGTTCCCAAACTCATTTTCTTCCTTTTGGTAATGTTTCAGAAATTTCAATGCACTTTCAAAACGCTTCCCTTTATGTTCCTCTGTTAATAGACGAAGCACCCATCGAGCACAAACTATATGAATTTGAAGCTGATGGGCAATAATTTTATGTATACTCCCACGAGAAATATCCAGTTCATTAGAGGATTCCTGTATTGTTATGCGTCTGTTTGCAAGAATGCATTCATTCATATGTGCAGCAATTTCAGAATTTGTGGCAGCTGATGGTTTTCCCTTGCGCTCAGCGTCGTCATTACTTGTACGTTCATTCCCAAACATGTCACACCACTTTATGATAGCTTGACATGGCATTTTCACCATAAACTTCATACAACTGCGGATAAATCTCAGTGCAGTTACACCTTTTTTGCCCACAAAAAATTAATCACTGCATACATTTCCAATTTGGGCGGCATCTGCAGCTGGCGAGACATGTTTACGGCTGATTATCAGACAATCTAAAACTGCCTCGTGAAAGCCGCTACGTCACCCGATACAACTAAATATCTGACGTTTTGCCAGCTTCTGACTGACCTACGTAATTTGTTTTTGAAGAGAGCTTCTGCTCTAATGATCTTTCTACTCCTTTCTCTTTGTTTTGCATAAAGAATTTCTATATTGAATTCTAGCTCTTATTCATACTTTTTAATTCTTCATAATAAACTGTTATTAATGGAGTACAATAATTTAATTCTCTTAAAATATGTCTAGATATTTTTAATTTATTCCAAATTTAATTTTTGCATAATTTATCCAAATATTATGGATTTTTATTCTTACAATGACATATCTCAGCCTACCATAAAAGTGAACACAAATATTTTTAATTTTGAAATTTCAAACTGAGGTAAGAAACATAAAAGACTTTTTTTTGAGGGGAGATTAGTTTTTAGGATAATTAATGAAGATTTTGATAAAGGAAATCCATACCAGAAATTCATCTCTTATAAAATACTTTGCCCTCAATACTTCAGGTTCATCACCTTGGTCAGTAACAGCTAAAAATGCAAATGGATTATCAATTAGTAAAGACAGCTGAACAATATCAAGTAAATATTTAGCCAAACAACGTTAGACATGATAGATTATACAATGCATTGGACTTATGATAAAAAAATTCCCTTTATGACATACATAATAATAAGAAAATAAATATTTCATCATGATTGTATGCATATTTTAAAAATTATCATGCATTTGATAATGAATAAAAATGTGTACACTAATATTTTAACTATGTCGAAATTTTCCTCTAGGCCTTGATACCAATATACAGTCTTTGATTTGATGCAATAATAATATTTTGATAATTTTTTGACTTATATACAACAACATAAAACAGCCACATTTATCATGTCTATTAATAATAATAGTTCAATAACTGCACAGCATGTGTTTCCATAGATAATTTAAAAACTGTAAATTACCTCGAGAGGCTCCACACAATAAGAAGATTTAAGAAGATACATTACTACACAGGAAAAAAAAAAAAATAATAATAATTAAAAGAAAGTTTACGTGTAGAAATTTTCCGATATAAGAATTTTGGAAATCTGTATTAATGACAAAATTGGTATGTCATTCCACAATTAGATCTTTTCTTCATATACTCTCACTAGAAATTACAGCATAGTTCATCTCTTTTACACATTCTGAATATGTACGTTTTCACATAATAATTTCTGACAGTGGATGTTTGTTATAAAAGCATTCATAATCAGAAATGGGGAAAAGCAAGTGGGCACGAATTTGCAAGAGAACAATTTCACAGCCATTACTGGGCCTCAAAAACATCAAATGACACTAAATAAAGCATAAAACCTATAATAAAACTAAAAGCAAAAATGACAACAAAAGTATAGCCTGAACAAATGGAAATGACTTATGGAATATAATTTAATCATTCAAAATTGAGAAAATAGTGTATAGAGGGAAGGCTCAGATTTGATTATAACAACAGTGTTGGGTAGATGCAAGAGAATAGGATGTAGGAAACAGAGCATTGTTTATTAACTTTACTGGGCCATTACATCTATAGTTGCTAATGCTATGGATCTAACAATCTGAGAATTACCCAATGTATGAAAAGCCTGTAATCAATTTTGTCTCAAAGAAAAGCCATAATTCATGGTAAAAAATTATGCACGACAACGACGAGTTGAAACTGTGTTTTATCAATAAAATTCAAGGAGATGGGAATACAGGAAAGCATCCTGTATAGAGATGAAAGGATTAAGAACTCAAAATTGGTTCAAAAGATTGAAAATGCACTTTCTTACAGCTGCAAGGTTCATATATTTTTGGTGTCAGAAGATGACATCTATTGAATTTTGTGAACTCCAACTGAAGATGAGCCCCAATACAACTGCAGACTGGAATAGTTACATGAACGAGGTGTGTACCACAGCTTTGATTGCTCAGCCTAAGTTGAAAACTGGTGAATAAGGAAAGATTGTTGAAGTAGAAAACCTTTTTACTAGAAGAAAGAAAAACGTTGGATGTGTTATTCTGCCGCAATGGGTTTTTTAGCGGATTGCGCATAGAATCGAAGAATGTTTTTTAGTTGCTGTTCCAAATTGATCAGCGAAAACTCTATTGAATGTCATAATGGAAAATATTACAGAAAGAAGCATTATTTATATTGATTGCTAGAAAACACACAAGTAGGATGAACTGCAAGATGGAGGCTTTGAATATTTTACTGCAAACCACAACTACAATTTTGTGGAACCCGAAAATGGATGTCATATAAAAACAATAAAGCCATTGTGGGGCAGGGCTAAATGATGTAGTAAACACCCTCAAGGTATTTTGATTCTTATTTGTCCGAATTTATGTGAAGACGTTTACACACGTACAACAACAGAGAAAAAAGAAAAAAAAAAAAAAAAAAAAAAGAAAAGAAATTTCCAGTGTTGGACGAAATCAAAAATTTTATGCCTCCCATTTAATTTCAGTTCTGTTCTACCTTTCTTAATGAATTTTCATAAAAAATGTATTACATGAGGTTAAGCTTTCATTTAAATTAAAATATAAAAGTTGGATACAAATATGGAAATACTTTGTAAAATGCATGCTTGAAATGAAATGCTTGTTCCTACAAAAGCTGTTGGTAGCATTGATTTGGGTGCACAAACACCACCTGTACAACATCCTCAATACATAGCAAGTCTCATTTGTAATCAACACAGTGTTCTGTGCAATTGTGAGTGCATCATGTCAAAGCTAAATGAATTCAAATGTGGGCTAATTGTTGGAGCTCGCATGGTGGGTACTTTCGTAACTGAAAGTCTGATGTTTCAATAGGCACAGTACATAAGACTTTTAAATCATATAGGAAAACCAGAAAAACCGCATTCGCCACATCATAGTGGAGATCAAAATGTGTGTTGAGTGATCATGACAGATGATCACTAAGAGGACTGCGATGAAACATAGAAGGACTACGGCTGCAAAAATGACTGTTAAACTGAATTTCACACTTGCAAACTTGTCAGCGACAAAACAATACAAAGGGAGCTCCACAAGCAGAGTATTTTTGGGCAACCCGCAATTCAAAAGTCACTATCAGCGGTCAAAATGCCTGTAAGAGGAGAACACGGTGTCAAAGTTATAAAACCTAGACTGCAAAGCAATGGAAGGCTGTCATTTGGTCGGATGAATCTTGCTTCATACTGTTTCTGACATCTCGGTGAGTTTACATCTGGCGAATGCCATCCCAAGCATGTGACAGAGACTGTTTGCTGCCGAGAGTGAAACATGGTGGGGGTTTGTTCATGGTTTGGGTAGCCAGCCATATCATAATATTCCATGGAACCCATCATTACTGTACAAGGTTACATTACTGCCAAGGATTATGTAACCATTTTGGCTGACCACATCCATCCCACGGTACAAATATTGTTCGTCAATGGTGATGCCGCATTCCAAGACAACAGAGCCTCTATTCACTCAACTCACATCATCCAGGACTGGTTTTCTGAGCATGAGGGTGAAGTTTCACATCTACCATGGCCACCACAGCACTACATAACAATATTATTGAGCCTTTGTGGGCTATTTTGGAGAGAAATCTGCATGAGCACTATTCACTGTCATCAGCTTAACATGATCCTTAACTGAATTTGCCAATGTTTTACAGGAAGAATGTTACAAGATTTGCTTTCAAAACATACAACGTATTCATCCATTTCGAGAAGACTGCAAGCTGTTTTGAACGCCATCCTACAACATATTAGTCTCAGCACTATGTTTTTATTTTGGTGTTACCATATTTTTGTCCAAGCCCTATAATAATCATTAGATAGATATATATTCCTTCCTCCCTTTTTTGTGTTAGCATTACCATAATTATTTTTGGCATTATGAAGATCAACAATAATTAGGCAATTTTTAGCTGTACCACTTTTTGTAATCTTATTTTAAATAGTTACGAAAAAGTAAAATTTCATTCTTATGAATACATAAACACAAAGAATTATGCAAATTTTAAATGTTATTTTTTGTAGTTTACTGATGGGCTTAAATATGATGTAATCACATTACACATATAATGTGAAGTTTAATGCTAGCCATTTCTTAAAATTGGCAAAACTGATAAAAATGTTAATTCTAGACATTGTTGTCATTCCACTTACCATAAAATTTCCAAATTATTACAGTACATAATTTACAGTAAAGAGAGTGATATGAAAACACTGGATACTTTATCATGGAATAAGGTTTATGCTTTATTATAATTTAGACCATCTCTATACAGCAACATTTCATTTTATGAAATCTCCCGATTAAAAACTCATCATTTGAAAATTATATATATATATATATACATACTGAAAAACTGTCCATCCCCCTCATAATGCAAAATTATCACCTGATGAGTCTCCATTGGCAAGGAGATACAAACTTAAAGGCAAAATATGAATTGATAATTACCTCACTTAATCTCCACATTTTTAGTTAACTATTAGGAATGAATAGTTAAAGGCAAGGTATTTCTCTGTATACCATATCTACAGTAAACTGTTTCATCTTTCCTCTTAAACAGAAATGTAAGTTTCTAAATTAATTTTTCTAAAACTGATGGATTACAATGTTTTTACTATGACTGATTTATCCCCTGCTTAAGTATCCTGCTAAAGCCAAAGCTAAAAACCGTGCATAATCAATATAATCATGAAATTTGTTTTGAATATTACTGCTTACATATTTAAGAATTTTGATCATTTATGAAAAATGATAAAAATTTTTTTTGCTAATTATAATACAGTGAAATATGTTTAAAACGAAAATGCTTAATACGAAATATCGGTTAACAAGAAATAATACAACGGTTCCAACAAACTACTATATATTTTCATACATTTTGTTTCTCTTAACAAGAAAAGATATCCTTTCTTGAAATGAACAAAATATGGAAAACACAGGCAAGATTTAAGGCGGGTGTGAAATTAAAGGTGGTTTCACATATTTTGTAAAAAGGAGGCTAACTTGGCCTTGAAATACCCTAGGAATAGCCTGTAACACGAGCCAGTTTTGTCTAAGTTACTTTCACCTTCCACTCCTACAAATGCCACACAAACATCTCATCTCTCATAAGTTGGCTTTGGAATTCTGTGACGAGTACATCACAGTTAGTTCATATATTGCACTCTGCATGTCTCTGTCTCTTCATATGTTGCACTCTGTATATAATTCAGTGACTCCAAAGACGAATGAAAATTGATTTGTCATGCAGGATTCTCAAAAGTATAAGATTTCTTTGATGCCAAAAGAAATGGAAGATACTGAAACTGAGCCAATACTTAATGAAATGTTAATGTTTCTTAATGAAATGTTTGAGAAACTTTCTGTATTATTGGACTGTCCTACTGTATTAGCGGAGGAATTTGTTACAGTAGTTGATAATGTGTGTACAGCCCAAATTATGGCAGACTAAGACATTTTGGAGTTTGCTGAAAGCTCAAAAAATATCATTGATACAGATTCAAACAAAAATGAAATGAATAATGCAGCTCCTGTTCTCATGTCATCCGAAATGAGAAACTCAGGGGTGTTTGTGGGACCCCAAAAAATCCCCTGAAACTTTTACGGACTTACTACCGACATTTTGGAGTTTCGAGAAGGGGGGGAGAGAAATGAAAAATTACAATTATGAAGTATTGAATGACCTAATTATAAAAGTTCAATGAATTACTTTTTTTGCAAAATTAATAACCATAAATTTTCAAACATAAACATATAAACTACTACATTTTATGTAAATTTTTAAATTACCTGAATTAATTCTTTAAAAAAAAAAATTATATCTAATTTCTGCTGCTTTTTTTTTATTTTCTGATGTTTGTGGGCTTGTCTTTCTTTTGTGGTGAACTTCATAATTGCAGGAAGGTTGACTTTTATTTTCCTCATTTACAGTTGAAGAAATTTCCTCGAGAACTGCACATGCAGAGGTAGAAGCAGTTTGCTTTTCTGCTAATGTAGAAGGTTTTTTCAGAGACTTTTATAGGTGACTCATCTGAAATACATGTTTTTAAGTCCTCTTGATATGTTTTCCAACTTCTGTTCATATTCAGTAAGAGATCTTTGTGAATTGGATCAGTCATTGGATTTTTTTGAGCCATATTTTTTCACATGAGGTTTCTTTAGAAGCCATTAAATCATATTTAATAGTCTGCACTGCATCTAGGGAATCAATCTTAAGAGAGGTTCTATAGTCAGTGACAAGTGTATCCATTAAGTTGAATGCACTTTCCACTAATGGGCCATGGAAGCAGCTAAGGCAGGCTTTGACCAATTTAGCCAATGTAGGATACTTATAATCATTTGTGAAATCATCTTTTAAATTAAAAACTTTAGACCAATATTTATCAATTGTACACTTGACTTGATTTCCACTTTCATCATCAGATGTGTAGAGCATTTCTTTGGTGATATCAATATCACTCTGGTATAACCTTATTTCAGCTTCTACTTTTGACTTTTCATTATCACTAAAAATATGGGACATAAAAGATGATAATTTTTCAAAAGCTAATATTGTACTGGTTTTACCTCTTAGCTCTGGATCTAATGCTGTAAAACTAATTAGATATGAATTTTTAAGGGGTAATTTCTGTTTCATATGCTGTGCTGTATTAGTATAAGCTTTCATCAGAGAAATTTGGAATTCTTTTGCTATTGGATGATTTTTTTTTGATAATTTCTTCAGGAGAGTGGAAGCTTCTGCACCAGTAAATATTACTTTGCTAGGTAGATGGAATTCTGGATTTGTGACATCAACCTTTAATAAATCATTATAAGATGTGCACTCTATATTTTCTGGCTTCATAAAAAAAGAGAAAAATTTTGCCATCAATTTATAAATACTGGAATGTATTAAATGAAGCATTGGTTTTTTTGTGTTTCAAATAATTTAATATATGTGTTGAACTCTGGTAATACTGCTGAATATAATGCCATATGCAATAAAGTTTTGTTTTGCATAACAAATAACCCATTTAGTATTCTTTTTTTCCGAGCTAAAGCATCCTTTGTGAGTTGTTGGGAATGCAAGCAAGAATACACCCCTTCAACAATTTTTTTTCTGAGCTGCAGAAATATTTCTTTTATTGTATACAGTTTCAACATAAGAAAAATAATCCCCTTTATCAGTTTTATCCAAGTAGTGAAAATAAAATGCAATAAGAGCATCCCACAGATCTTTGATTCTTTCTAAAAACACATAAAATGTACACCCACCTATGGTCTGGTCTCTTCAAGGGCTTAAGTTTTTTAATGGCAAGGGATTCACAGATTTTGAAAAAAATTTTCTCTTTTACTGCAGCTTTTCATATCAAAATAGATGTCATCAAACAAATCTTCTAAGTATCTATCAAAACATGAAGCAAATTTTTTTGCACAGTTATTAGCTGTGTGACATGTGTCACCATCAATATCTAATAAGTGGGGTGCTTTGTTTGATCGTAGTCTGGTTTCAACACCCTTTTTTTTTTCCACGCATGGTGTTACATGAGTCCATTAATACACTAATTAAGTTTGCCCATGGAATATTATTATCTTCAATAGTATTAACAACTGCTTTAAAAACAGCTTCTGAATTGCAAGATTCCATCTTTAGAGATGCAAAATGATGAACTACAACTTCATTTTGATTGTTGTCATAAAACTGCACCAATATTGCCAGTATACTTTCTTGAGCATTGCTAGTACTTTCATCCAAATTTAGAGAAAATGGAGTCTCCTTTAAAGTTTTAATGATATTTTCCTTAATAGTTTTTGCGAGCCCATATTTCATCTTATAACATGCAGTAGTCCTGGACATTTCCAACGAGTTTAGTGCCGTCTGATCGCGGCTCAACTGTTTGCAGAGTTCAATTAAATTGGGGAGCTACATTGAAAGAAAGAGAATTCTCGGCGATAAACGAAGTTATTAATACCTCTTGGCGTGCTTTTCTTGTCACTATATCCAATGGCCGAGCATCAGTCTCCAGTAAGTCATCAGTATTTTTTGAATTAGCATAATTACTTAAAGTCATTGAATGTCTAATGCACTTTGAATATTTTATGTGCGTCACAGTTTTTAGAATGATTTGTGAAAGCCTTGAATCCTTCCCCACCATACTTCAGCAGTGAGTTACAAAAAAACACAATATGCTTGTCCAGCAACATTTATTTTCTTGCACCATGTGCCGATGGTATCCCCATTACCATCTCTCCGTTCAATCCAATTCCACCTAAATGCATTCCGGACACCTTCTTCTAATTGTATAATATCACTATTTATATCGAGAAATTTCATAGTGAAATTCTCTTGCGTACATAAATAAAAAAATATTTCAATAAACGAAACGAAAAATTTACACGTGCATCAATAAATGAAACGAAAATTTTACACAGCGGAGAAAAAAAAGTTGAGAAGCGATCAATGACAAATAGCTAATACGGCGAAAAAAATCCCCCTTCTCTACTTATTGGCGCCACGCCAGGAGAGATAAGACCTTTGAACCCAGAGTCACGTGATCGCACATCTGGTCGAACGAAGTCTCTCCCTTTTTTTTCTGCCGCGCCTACTTGCCGAAAAGAATCCAGAAGAGAATGTCCGAGAACCGGGGGAATGAGTCATAACTCGCAATAAGGAAAGAACAAAAAAGAAGTTTTTCCCCCCCTTTTCACGCATTATCACTGCCTTTGGAGAAAGAAAGGAAAAGTTTTCACCACACACACTGACCTTGCGTTTTCTGCTTTCAAAGCAAACAAAATTACCCAGATCAAAATAAATAATTCATTATTATTCCTACTTCCTTTGAACGACGATCCCCATTCCGGGGTTTTCCCGGAGCCAAACCCCTGGAAACTCGTAAAGATCCATTTTTTGCACTTCCAGGTAATATGAATCCAAAATGTAAAACATTGATGCTAAAAAGACATGAAAAAAATATCGGTTATTCCCAAAACTCTCGTAAAATTTGTTTAAATTTAATAAGTTCTTGTGGATGTTTTGTTTCATTGATTATTATTAAATACATGCATATATATATATTTTAAATGAATGTACTCTAATAACTTAATTTTTAAATATATATATTTTCAGTATCCTTTAACAAGAATTTCTTTTAACACAAAAAATATTTGAAGCCCCTCAGTTTCGTGTTAAAAGATTTTCACTGTACTAATTGTGAAGACACAACTCCCAAGAATAAAATCAAAATGTGTTTACCCTGCAAATACTTTTGTACATTAATGCTTTACGGCAGGACAATCAGCAAAAATTTTCTGCATGAATCATTAGTAATTAATTGCTAATTTTTAAATATCATTGAATTAATTGTTTTACTATCACATTAATTTCTTGTCAGACTTTTTCCACTTTTTAGAGTAACTGCACGTAGGTAGGTTGTGAATTTAAAAGAGCATGGGAAACACACCTTATGTACAGCCACAACTAGCTAGTATTAAAAATATGCTTATTATATTCAATAATTATACAGCAATAAGGTTAGTTAAATGAACTTTAATTACAGATATGTATGTAATATTTAAATTAAAATAACTTATTATAATCATTAATATTGATAAATCAGAAATCTTTAAATAAAGCACTTACCATCTGGTGGAGTCTGATAATGAGCAAAATCGGGAAAATAATCTACAAGCTTTGATTTTCCTGCTTTTATTTTTTCGGCTAATAGATCTTGCTTGTTGAGGAACAAAATAACTGATATTGTACGAAGCCATCTTTTTGAAGCATTAAAAAATATGAATTTACATTAATATTTATTGAATACTAAAATTTACAAAAGTAATTCTTAATAAAATTTTACTGTTTCTTAAAATAAATGTACTCTCTTATATTAAAATCCAATGAATTACAATAATTAAATTTAAAAATCCTGTTTCAACAACGACAAAATTCACTTGAAAATATAATAAACAAATCTAACAGAAGATAAAATCAATTCTATATTAATATTAAAAAAAAAAGCTTTAAATTAATGCACAATTTAAAAAAAAATTACACAAATAATGAGCTTCAAATTTAAAATTCATAAACATAATCAAAGACAAAAATCACATGAAAATACTAATGCAAATATAAGAAATAATTCAAAAAGAAAATGAAGATAATTATGTATTAATGTAAAAAAGCTTCGAATTAATCGTGCTAAAAATTTCAAGGCTCTGGAATTTATATTTTTCATGAAAAAAGTCTTTTTGTTTTTCCTTTCTCATAAACGTGAGTTCTTTCCTAATTCATTATTTATATTTCATTTAGAAAAAGTTTAACTGAAACAGCATGAGTTAACTAGGAGAGTTATGGGTTGACATGATTCCAAATATAAGCATAAATAAATACTATGATAAATAAAAGCTCAAAATTAAGACAAAAATATAATACATCATTAAAAAAAAAGGCAGCACAGAATTATAAGTACTACACATACAATTTATTTAAGAATCATAAATTTGTAAAAAATAGATTGTAAAATTACCTGTTATTCCAAATGCTTTTGAACAAATCCAGTGATTCCCTGAGTCTGTTCTGATTTGGATCTTCTCTCAAAACCATGTTATAACTACTGCAAGCAGTTACAAATATGATAGCAGTAACATCGTTAAAACACTGAATCCACTTTCGCCTTTCATCTCTTTGACCACCAACATCAAACATGCTACAGAAATAAGTAATTTTTTAAATTAATAAAGAGCAAAATCAAAATTATGCATTTATTTTGCAATACGATTAAAAATGTTACTTTGAAAGACACATTAAAAATACAGGTTTAAATTCCATATCTTTAAAAATACACTTTCTTATACTTCTTTTCTCTCTCTCTCTTTTTCCTTTAGAAATAATTACTTTATTTCTAAAGCATAATCTAAACATTTCCTATGAATGCATTTTGGTACAAGGTAAACTTTACCTCTTTTTTATTGGGGTGATTCTGCAAGGACCCTGATAGGTTATCAAATATATAACAGTAGCATAAAATTCCCAAAAGTTATTCTGTGCTGTGATTTGTTTCAAAGGTGCTTATGAGTTGTCATGTTGATATGTTGCATAACTTAGTATTATTTTTTAAATTATCATAAATGTTGTTTGCCATAATTTTACTTCATCAGGACTTTCATTTTTTAACACAATCTGAGATTTTATAACATCATTAAACAATTCTCTTTTATTTAATTAACAACCTTGATAATGCATTCATTTTAGATTTGCTTTCAAATCACTAAGGTTCTCTAGGATTTCAAACATTTGAGGCAGATTTAACACTTTTCATTTTTTGATAAAACAATGCTTTTACTGCAGAAGAATATTTTTGCTGAAACACACACACACACATACATAAAAAGAGACTAAACACATCCTTTTTAATGAATTTTGACACTTTTCATATCTGAGGAAGAAATTGGAGCTATTTTTAAATTTCTGCTATTTCTGAGCAAAGTACGCTCAGAAAGCAGAGAAGTGAGTAAAAAATATGCAACATTTCAAGAATGAATACTTGCTCAGAATTATTTAGTTTAAATTTTATTTTGAATAGTTAACTTAGTTTCAGCTGTCTGCATCATTAGCACTATGCAAATAAATATCATGCAAAAAAGATTCATTTTGAAATGACACAATTGAAAGCGTTATTACACAGCTTTATTACAAGCAGCGACTAGTTTTAAAATCAAAAGGGGAAATAAACAAACTAAAATAGAGGCCCAAGGGTTTTTTTGAGTTAAAGTTAGAATTTTTGATTTACATACTTTTAACCATTCTTTCTCACACACACTGCCTTCAGGATTAATCTAACATGTGAGAAATTTGAAAGCAATTGAACACTATGGTTTTATATAACAAAATATGAGTTTTCTTTTAGAATTGCTTGACAATTTTTCAACAATTACTTCTCAGAAAGGAATAATATCACTGAGAGACACAGACCTGCACATGGCAGAAATCCTACCAAACTGTTCTACAGAATGAATGAACATTTGCTAACTAGAAACAAAACAAAAAAATCATTGCTTTACTAATAACTACTGATACACTGAACAAACAAACAAACAAAAGAGAAGAAGAAAAAGAAGAGGGACAGTTCTATATCTCGTGTTCTACTGGGCCGATAGACAAAGTTCAACTTGCGTTTTTCGTCTCGAAACCACGACTTAGGATATATATTCGATTTATATATAGCATTGTCCCAACATAGGTTTTTTCTGACACAAAATCGGATTTTTTCTGAGATAACATGCCATTTTTTCCCATATTTCGATTCTACGACTCAAATTATGCCTAAATATTCTGTAAAATTTGGTGCGAAAGTTACAGAGAAATTAAAAAATTTATCTTGGCACAATTTTTTCAGTTTGCGCCAAGAATAATTCACTTGCCAAACTCCTTAATATATAGCAACCTTTCCCTTCCATTGTGGAGGAGCAGGAAAAAAGTCACAGTGTTCCTAGCTTTTCAAATTGTGCATAGCGGGGAAGGGAAAAAAAAATCACATCGTTTCTACTTCAAATATTTTAACAAGGGGCCTAAACCCCATTTAAAGTACTATGTTTCAAAAAACTAGACAAAATTTTCAAAATGCCAATATAAATTCACCTAGCTTCTGAATTTTTAATAAAAACTATTTTTGCATGTATGCTTAGAAAATACCTCTACTTTAAGATGATGGTAAAATTTTATAGCTCATAATTCAAAAATTTGTTCGAAAATTTTTATAAAATTTTTTAAAAAAATAAATCGTATAAAATGAACTTAAATTTCAAAATATCAAAGGAAGAATCAAATAAATTTAATAAAAAAACAGATATATGGAAAAAAAATTACCACGTCATTTCAGAAAAAGTCTGATTTTGTGTCAAAATACTTATATTAGAACAGTGCTATATATAAACTTAATACATATCCTAAGTCGTGCTTTCGAGACATGAAAAATGCAAGTTGAATTTCATCAACTGGCCCAGTAGAACAGGAGATACAGAACTGGACCCCCCCTTTTTTAACACAGTGTAGTTACTGGTACAAAACAGAAAAATTACCACCTACATGTATACTGTATTTTTCTAAGTCAGCACACACCACTCTCTTATCAGCAAATTTATATGTGCTACCAGAATGAGATAAAGATGTGAAACTGCATAACATGAACAGAAACATATCATAAGTGCAAGTAACAAATTTTCCTGTCTTAGCAATATTACATCTTTTCAACTGTGGAATACCTGGAAATCATTTCAGATGATAGACGAAAGACTGCAAAATTAAAAAAATAACAATTTCTGGAATTTTGATTAATACAGCTGAAAGAACTTTGTTTCAAAGCAAATTTTATTCAGCAGAAAATGCATTATTATTTGCAAACAAAAACAACTCGCATTTATTTCATTTTGTTGGGAAATTTGCATTCTCCTTTGAAGATGCGCAATGCTGAAGATGAGTAAGTTCAATGCTATATAGTCCCATTGCAGAAGCCATGAAATGCAGCTGTGAAGACAGTGTGTCCTCCCAACGCGCATATCTCTCATGTGTGTCGTTTTGATTATCAACGTGGTCAGTACCCATGATTCTCTGCATTGCTGCGCAACAATGCGATGCATGGAATCCTGACATGGAAAATAGCTGTCAAAGCCTATACTGTTAATAAAGACCTAGTAGAGTGTTTCTGACCGCATTTCTATGAAATGTTAGACCAGACAACATGTATGGAACTGTTAACCTTTCCCGGCATGCTACCTTTTAAAATTGGAATTTTGATTAAAAAAAAAAAAAGGAAAGGTACGCAGTCTAATTAGGCCTAGGGAGTATACAAGTAAAATTTTGTGAAGATAGCACTTATCGTTTTAATTCTATGGGTGTGCCCAAAGTGGACACACTGATTGAATAGAGCTTCAAAAAGAGTACTGAAATGAGCATGGTTGTCAATGAACTGACCAATGAGATGCGGAGAAACAAAGAATACAGACTCTCAGTTGTCCTAGATTATTGGTGAGCCCAGTCTGAGAACCTAGGGTTCGCCGTTTGATATTAGCAAGATTCAAGGTAAAATTTTTTAAACTATATAAACAAGGAGATTAGCATACAGCCAAAAAAATAATAGAATTTCTTTCAAACAATTCCTTTTATAACCTAAAAAAAAAATCTGGAGATTTCTTGAAAATGAGGGTCCTAAAAGCTAAACATGGCTAAATATATGATTGGTTTGTGTTGAGCTGCCATCTACTATAATAAAGAAGGTTCAGAGTAACCTATAAATCCTTTTTCATTCAATTTTTCTGTGCATACAGAAGGAAATTTTTAGGTGTGTCCAGACCGGACACACTGTGGCGCAAAGAGTTAAGTGAAGTACCTGCTGACATACCAGTCATTCATCTTCTTCATGCACTGTTTTTCCTGACATGTCATAGGTTGACAACCTTTTCATCTGTTTTGCTAAGCTCAATGAAAGCACCTATTAGAAGTCAATGTTTAACTTACAGCAAATATGCTCCTTGGGTAGGGACCCAAGTTTCATACTAAGTCAAACTCTCAACATCACCCCAAATTAAAATTCAACACTTTTGGCAGCAGCAGAAGTGCAATTAGCTCATTCAATTGCGATTCAAACACAACCTTTAAGCTAATGAACATCACTTACTTTCACATTTAATAATACATTAATGATTTAAACAACACCTTTAAACAAATATCTCCAATGTCTAGCCATATTTAGAAAATAATGGACTGATTTAATAAGTAATATCAAATGCTACATGATTTCCAAACCAACACGTGTTCCCAAATAGAGTTTGTCCCTTAATATGCTACACATGTTCCTTCAACACTAAAATATTATCAAAAGATTAATTCTTTTCAAAGCACACGACAATAGTAATTTTTTAATGATGAAATACATAAAAATCTGACATACTGAAAATTTACTTTATCCACTTGGAATTTAGTTTCAAATATTCCTGATGTCAACACTCGGCATCGGAGAATATCCTACAAAGTTAAATAAAATTATGTATTTAACATGGCCTAAATTTTAAATAAATTTATAACATTTTATTCTCAAATACGGAATTAGTCTCACCTGCTCTGATGGAGTATAGTCAGGTTTCTTTATAACATTTACCCTATCTAAGAAACTGAAAAAAGAAAAATATTAAATTATTACTATTATAATTTAGATATCTCATTAATGCAACTAAAAAAATCATACCTAAAACACAGCATTTAAAAATACAAAGGAAAAAACACATGACAATGTAAAATACGAAATTAAGAAGGGACTTTAACTGCTGAGTATTATACAAAACTATCAATTTTAGAGTAACTAACGCATGTTATTATTTAATGAGCAAAATGTTCAAACAGTGTTCCTACAACCTCAAATACAAAAATCTGATGTGGACACAATATGCCTTCTTTGTACATCTATTAAATTATACACATTTTTTGCTGCACTTCATTTGAGGATATTTCCTCCAATTAAACTTTATTAAACTGATTTTTCAAGGCAAGTTGTAAATGATATCAAAATTGCAAATTTTGAAATTAAATACTGCATCAATTTTTGTCGCATGGAAGTTAAACTTCTTGTATTTTCATTTTTTTTTTTAACGATTATAAAAATTTCCAAAATATATAGGTTTTTTTTTTAAATTTGAAACTGCCCAAACATGAATATTTTTGTCATTTAAAATGCTTCTGCTTATTAGATGTATATGTCTGCGACCAACAATTGCAAAAATAAAGGTTAAGTAAAACTTTTAAGATGGACAAGGGGTTTGTGGAATAAATAAATAAAAATAAAAATAAAATAATAAAACTGCTATTTTTAAGGATAACATACCTAAATCATTATGGTGGTATAGTTTGGATGTTCTCAGTATAGTTAAATTAGACTTCTTGTCAAAATTCTAAGACTGATCTTAATGTAGACTAGACTACCTAATAGCTTTCTATCTTTTTTATGAACAAAATGTGTATACTTTAGCTAAGTCTCAAGAAAACCCACTTGATTGAGTTCTATTGACATTTGACAACTTCTCTTGTTTTTTGCCTTTATTCTCTTTTAAGTACCTATAATTCATAACTTTTTTTTCCCCTAAATTCCTGTTTAGCATTCTCTAAGCTCACTCATAGTTTACTAGAAACAGCCTTTACTACATCACAAAATTTTTTTTAATTTATTTGTATTTCACAATTCTTATTTTACGTTTTGAAATTATTATTGTTTTATTATTAAACATTATTCTATATGTTGTAAAATTTATTCCATTCATTGAACTAAACACTACAACTTTTTCCATTCAATGAATTGAAGCGAATTAATACTTCACTTGAACTCAAATTGTAGGTCTTTTTAGGATTCATTATCTAGGTATTTCAATACTTTTTTGTTTTTTTAAATTATTAATTTTTTACTTCTACATATTTTATATTGCAAAAAAGTTTTTCCCTTTGTTTTTAGCTCAAAGAAGCATTTAACTTAGAAGGGCTATTAGTCTCAAAACAGGATCTTGCGTTGAATCACTATAAAAAAAGTCTCTTAAAATTGTTGCAACAAAATATTATCATCTCATATTATATTTAAAGAAATTAAATAATGAAGAATTTTCATGAATGTATGCATTTTTTTTTTTTTTTTTTTTTTTTTTGCACTGCGAAAAGAAAACAGTACCTAGAGCCATCAAATTTTGAATAATGTAGTCCTCCACCCAAATTTGGACACTTGGAAGGCCTGAATTTTATATTTGTTTAATTGTGTATTTCATATTTTGCAAAACTTTAATGAAGTTTTGGCTAAAACTAAACAATTTCAAAGCTAGCAATGGCAACACTGTACAGAAATAAACATTTTTATCTCCAGCGTGTGAGACTAGAGCGTTATAAATTCTAAAAATAGGCTGTTTTTAAATATTTTTTGCCTAAAGTGGTGTTAGCCCAAATGCTCTCAAAATGTGTATGTAAATGAGGAAAAAATGAAAAAAAAAAGGTTACCTTGGACGTAATATAAAATCTGAAGGCTTTCAAAATTTATATATATATATTCTATAATTATTTTTACTGAGTTTATTCAGTTTAAAATTTGTAGTTTACCCTACAACTTATTGCATTCATTGAACTAAGCACAACTTTTCCCTTCGTTGAACTGTGACTTAATACTTCACTTGAACTAAAAACTGGTAATCTTCGAGGATTCATATTCATATCCCAAGCAATGCAATGTTTTTCTTTCTTTTTCTTTTCCAAATTATTGATTTTTAATTCTACATTTTTATATTACAATAGATTTTTTAAAAATTACTTTTACAGAGTTTAATCAATTTAAAATTTAGGCTTTTCATCAAGTTATATCCGAGTCAAATACTCTTTCACTGCAGTTCTCAGATGGATTTCTGTTTTGCATATCACAGTCTGAAGATTCAGTCCTTTCAGACCTTTCATGTACAGGAAGATCATGTACAGGATTTTATTCACCACTCTGTAGCTTATTCGCATCGTGTGTACAATTCACCTCGGTATTTTTAAAGTTTGTACATGCTTATTTTCTTCTACTTCCTGAGAGCCAGTTCCAATGTTTGCATCAGAGTTATGAATAGAATCCGATCCTTCACAAACAGAAGTATCTTGGTTTAGAATCAAGTTTGTGTCTGTACAAACTGTACTGCAAGGCACATGCTTAGTTTGAAAACTGGTTGTATTTTCTTGCAATACTGGAGCACTCTGCTTAAGCTGTACATCAGCTTCTTCCATCTCTGCATAACATAAATTTTCAGATGGTTCAATACTTGCTAACTGCAACTTCATAACTTCACTGTCAGTTTCTATGGAACATAACAGTTGCACTTTCACTTTCTTCCACTTCTACTTCAGGCACTTAAGAATCAAGAACTTTATTTCCATGAATTATTTTTCACCTTTTTCAGATACTTTACTAGCCACTTCTGTTATTTCTACATCTTTACAAACAGTATTACAACTTTCTTCTGTTTCAACTTCAGACACTTAAGAATCAGAGCTTCTTTCGCATCCATTTCTTTATATTTTCATTCCTTTTCTTTAATCTCATTAGATGTTTCATCCTTCATTTCTTGATCTTTCTTGGGCACTTCATCAGCTACTTCCTTCATTCTTTGATTCTTTAGATGCCACTACTGTCATTTCCATGTCTACTATTTTGGATCCAATTTCTTTTGTAAGCTCCACTTTCATCCGCTGGAGTTGCTCTAGTGGCTTTTCTTGGGCGAATTTCATCTCTTTTCATTTGGCTTTCATCTCTTCCTGTCCGGTTTTTACAGCTGCTAAAAAGTCTGTAAACTTCATTTCCTCTGCCATGGCCTTTTCCTGTATGCCGGTCACTGGCATTCACTCGTAAACCTCACTCCTGACACTAATTGTTGCGTTTCTTACGGGTTCCTGGATTTGGAGTGATTCACGGCAACACTTGACGAAGAATGAAAACAATTTATTAGTCAATATTACTTAGGCAGCTCCTAGAAACACGTTTACAATCTTAGGAAAACTATGACAAACATGCTGAAACAATCAGCAGGATGGCTATAACAGTGAAGACAGCTTCACGGCAAAGCACTAGAGTACAGCTCCTGACTCGGTTCGGTTGTTCTCGAAACTCAACTTACTCTCAAGGCTACGACTCACAATGCACTCAATAGCCTTAACGATACACACTCTCAATACAATGACAAGATACCTTGACACTAGACTGACAATCAACTCGACAGACTACAAGACACTCGATACTCTGATGGCCAACTCAAAAGTAGACTCACAATCGACTGCTTCTCCGCATACAGGCAGGGTTTGGCCTGCCTCCGAGAACATTCTGAGCCAAATCGATATGAATTTGTTCTAGAAGATTTTCCATCCATCCATGGCATATTGCCAATTCTGTCGTTAAATGGGCTATTTCACACCAAATGTGACAACTCTGCCTTTCCTTGCCATTTAATGGCAACCCTAAAACCACCTTACGGGGAAGCTATCTTACTGCAGCTGGACATTTTGTAACACTTCTTCAGTTATACTAACCCCCTGATGACACAGTGAAAGATGTACATTTCATTTTTCATTTTTGGCATATTTTGCGTCCTATTTCTTACAGTTTGCTGTGCTTCAGTTTTTTGCATGTGCTTTAATCTGATTTGAACATGGGATGAATTTTAAATGTATTTTTGATTTTACTTGTTTATACACACACACACACACATATACTTTTGTTACTGCTGATTGCAATAAAAAAAAAGGAGGTACACAGCTAGATGTAATAGCAGTCCTCTATACAAAATTTCTATGTTCTACAGCTAATCATTTTTGAGTTATGCCTAATTATACATGTGCACACTCTTTTTTTAAACCTACTAGTAAATGGCAACTGAATAAATTAAAGATATATATGTCAGAAATTCCCTTTTGTAATACCATGTTAAAAATAAAACAGTAAGATGCATTATTATCAAACATAATTTAATATTCAACAGAATTATAAAACAAATTTGAGAATAAAATTAATGTAAAATTTATTAATCAACATTAAATCACAAAATTTCCTGACATACTTTTATTTTACACTTATGGTAGTTGGACATACACAGACGAGCCAAAACATTGACCATTCCCACATTTTTTCAATGAACTCATCTGGATGACGTACAGGGCACATGATTACGTGGGAAGGGTATTTAACTGCTGCTGGAGAAGGTAAGGAATCAGTCTTTCACTTAGTTTTGTGAGTGATTGGAAAGGCTGCTGAACTAAGTGAATTTGACAGAAGGCAGATTGTAATCACCTGGAAAATTGGAATGAGTGTCTCTGAAACTGCATGACTGGTAGGTTGTTCACGATCTAATTTAAAGTGGATAAATAATGGTGAAACTAGCAGTAGATGCCAAGGTGTTGGATATCCACACGTCATCAAAGAAAAAGGACATTGGAGACTGTCCCGCTTGATACAGCAAAATCGGCACAAGACAGTGGCTCAGCTGACAGCACAATACAATGCAGGTGCAAGTGTTTTGGAACACACAGTTCAGTGGACACTGTTGGATATGGGACTGTGCAGAAGACACCCCACACGTGTGCCTCTGCTGACCAAGCGTCATTGTCAACTACGCCTAGAGTG